AAAGATTAACTACTCTACTACTAGGTAACCGTAAACCCCCGAACCCCTTAACCCTGTAGATGACCTTAAAGGAAGAAGCCTTATAGATCCCTTTAAAGTAACCCCTAAACAAAAGTTAAAGATTACCTACTCTACTACTAGGTAGGGCATCAGGGTTTGAGAGCCATGCGGGGCCGTGAGGAACTTTCGGGTTGTGGTGGTCTACCACGATTGGGTCAGAGTTAGGGGTTTATGACTTGATGGCCTTATGGGTTTATGGGTTAGAGTTAGGGCATATATATATATATATATATAGGGTCTCGGATCGAGGTTGTTGAGGCAACCATAGCCGGCAGACCCCAAGTGCCGATTCAGTTAGGCACGACTCGAAGCCACAGGCCGCACCGCGCTCCCCAAGTCGCCAGCCTGGCACCGAAGACGGCGCAAGGTCCGTGCTGCCGCACGGAAGCGGATTCACTCGGCACGTCGCTCAGACGTGGATCCGAGACAACAGGACCTACAGCTGTTGGAACGTCACCACAGCAGGCCTCGATACCGCGAGTCCAAAGATCGCCCGCAAGGTGCACGAATGGGCAAAAAGCAGCAATGGACCGCCAAAGAATGGGAAGAGTACAACGCTTCCTATTATGGCTGGCGGGACTCCTCAGCTGCTTCGACTCGAGTGCCGAAGTCTGGAGGCCGTGGCAAGGATCGCGACAAGCCAAAGCCAGGTGCGAGCGAGGGAGCCTTCCCCTCCTACGAAGCGATGCAAGTAGACATCAAGGCCAAAGGGAAGGGCAAGACCGATGCTGCCCCAAGCAGCCATGGGGAGGCGGACATCGCTACAGCCCCACGCAGTGGCCGGGCCAAGGACGTGCAGCGAGCGGTCAACAACCTCCGCAGATGCGAAGTTCGCCTCCGAAGAATCGACGAGGAAATGGAAGGAGCCAAAGCAAAGTGGGCGAAATTCCAGGAGCAACTCAAGCAGAACTTCGTGGCGGAGAGGGCCAAGTTCATTGCCCACACGACCAAGCTGGGCAACGAGAAGTCGGAGCACGTAGCGATGCAGGAGGAAGCCTTGGAGGAGATCCAGTTGGTCCTCTCGGGTCAGGTCGTCGAGCAGAAGGACGGCCAGGCGGCAGACCCGGAGGCGATGGCCGACTGGAATGTCCTGATGGAGGACGCGGCCAAAATGGAGGACTTGTCAACGGTCCTGCATGGAGCCCTGCAAGGACAGGACCTCAACAGTGGCGACACCAGACAAAAGCTGCTTCGGCTCCTGGCGGAACGAACACAGTCTGGTGTCAGGGTGAAAGCCGAGGCCACCCCACCGAGACGAGCACGCACTGTTGTGGCAATGACACCTCCAGCCAGGGACAAGCCACTACCACCTCGGGGAGACAAGTCAGACCCCCTGCATACAGAAGCGGATGGAGGGTGCGATTCGGACGGACCCTTACTCAGTTTCTCCGTCGACGAGGGGACCGGCAGCGGCAATGGAACACCCGCCGTCCCGGCATATGCCACGCACGAAGACTACGCCGCCAAGGGTACCCATCAAGACTCGCACCAAGCCCAGCCCACCGCCGGCGACGAGGAGGACCCTGGCGGACAAGTAAGAGAGCAGCAGGGCAGCGGCTACAGATGCAGCAGTTGGTCCTGTACAGATCGACTCCGAGGAGGATATGGTTGGGACCCTGGGCCACCAGCCCGATCAGGAGATGCCCACGGAAGTGGACTAGGTGGCACAACCTATGAACCTGGAAACGGGAAGCACAGCGGGCTTTTTCGGCTTGTCCCGGCTGTGGACCCACAACCCAAACAAGGACTATGCGGCTTTTTCGGTCAGTCCGCGAAGGGCATCTTCCATGGTGTGGATGGGAAGGAACAGATTGCCTACCACACTGCCCTAGCCAACAGCAATTTTGAATGGCACGGCCCTACGGGAGGCCACGACCATCGACGACATGAGGACTACGAGATCGTCGAGAGTGTATTCGAGGAACAGCCAAATCAAGAGTGGTTGGAGACAGCCAGGAAAGCACACAAGGATGTGCAATGGCGGCATCATGAAGTCATTGACAGCCAGGCCTGTGTGATGGAGTACCTGTTGGATGGCTTCCGAGGCATCGATGGTCCAGGACCTGAGAGCCTGGCTAAGTCCCTCGGCCACTCGCTAGCAGGCGTCCTATTGATTATTCAACTTGGCATGCTATGGGGACACAGCAGATGGCATCGACCATTGGCTAAGCGAAAGAGAGGCCGCCGTCCATCGTGGGCGGATATGCTTCTGGGATTCGCTTCGATGCGTACGGTGACAGTGACAGGTGGTTCTGGAGACCTGCCGGTGGCCCGAGGTTGTGGCCCCCTCGCGAATGGCCCAGAAAGCTCGGATATGGCCCTCTGGCGAAATGGCCAAGAATCTATGGCGGAGCAAATGGCACGAGCATGGCACAGGGAGATTCTCAACAGACCGCTTTTCAGTGGAGGACACCTGCCGGAGCACGTTCACCCAGAGGAGCCGGTTCGCATCGACAGGGAGGTCCCGGTGGCCCCGCCAGACGCCTTTGAAGAGTTTGAGGCATTGATCGAGGAGCCGGAGCACCTCATTGATGACGAGGCAGAGGTGACGACCCATGTTTCGTTCCAGGTGTTCTCGCCCTTCTATGTCACCGAGACGGTGGATATCGCAATGGCGTTCCCTCTGGAGCATGATCGTGTATTGGAGTTCGTCTGTGAGTCAACCCGGCATTTACCCACTGAGGAGTGGATGACACAGGCCATCTTCTTACAGCCTCAGTTACACGAGGACTACGGTAGCGTGGTGGCCCTGCCGGGATGGATCGACCTGTCGCGGCGAACTGTGATGGTGGTTGACGGCCACAACGTGGAGAAAGGAATATTCGCATTCTACCATCGAGGACGGGTGTGGAGGCATGACATCCTTCGAGAGCTCGGCCTGTCTGAAGATGCCGCGGTGGACGTGTATGCCTACGGCGCCACCAACCCTATGCAAAATATGACTACGGTCGAACCCCTGTTGGGGGGAGTGTTCAAAGTGGTGCAGGCTGGAGAAGCTGTTTCCTGGGCTTCGGACATACGAGGACGACTACATGATCCCAGCAGATGGCACCCACCTACAGAGCACATCGACAACCTCCCTGGGCGCCACGTCTTCTTTCAGTACAATGATGTGTACCACATGCACGAAGTTCGAGGGCCTCAAACCGAACAACCCCTTGCTGTGGCAAGCCGGGCGTTCGCCAAGCAAGAGCAAGAAATTTGGTTGAGAGCGCCAACAGAAAGGCCAGAATGCCTGGCATGGAAAAGCTGGAAAATACACAGCTTGGTGGCCGTGCTCGAGGAGGCACAGTGGCCGCAGCAAAACAACCAGGTGATCCATCTGGACTTGCGAGGGGTGGGCAGATGGCCGCGATGGACGACTGTGAGTGGACACCTCTTCCACCCCGGCGATGTGTTGGAGCAGCTCAATGTTGAGTACATTGAAGGATACTCGATCATTGCTGATGGAGGCCGTAAGGCACGGGAGAAAGGATGGCTACAGGTTCAAGATGGCGACACAATCAGGATTTACTTGCGCCCTACCTGCAGCTTGACCCCAGAGTCGTCTAGCCAGAGATCCTCGTCAAGTTCCCCCACAGATGATGGTTTGCCTGACTCGTCCGATCTATCGGGAGGTTCGCCACCCAGTGGTCCGGGGCCCTTCGGCCCACCGCCCCCGCAGCCTGTCAGGGAGCAATCGAGATCGCCCAGAAGGGGCAACGGTGGCCAAGCTAGAAACCTCGGCCCTGTGCGGGACCTGAAGCTCAACGAGTACGTCCCGCCAGCGAGTTTCAACCTTGATGAAGAGTTGCTTGAACTCCCCCATCAGCCGGACCTCGTCGCCAAAATGATGCATCCATGGCCGGCGAATTGGCTCGACTTCCGACTTCAAGACCTGCCCCTGAAGGATAGCACGGTCGCAGCAATGAAGGATCTGGTCCACTGGAGCCAAGTGCTGGGGAGGGTGAGCCCGGACAGCCCCATGAAGGCCGAGGTCTATGTAGATGGATCCTACTTCCCGGACACCAAGCGCAGTGGGTTCGGAGCCGCAGTCCTCATTCGCTGTGCTGGCCTTCTAGCAGTACTGGGAATCTTTGGTGGCCCTATCTTGGCCGACAACGAGGATGTCTGGAACTTTACGGCCCCGCCAGCTCTCAAAGCAGAGCAAATAGCCATTGCGGCTGCTCTACTCTGGCTGGGGCAAAGCAGATGCAGCTTACCACTGGAGAAGGCAACGATCTGCTTTGATTGTCAGGCAGCAGGTTTCGGAGCTGAGGGCGCATGGAGTCCACCGAACGATTTCGGAGTTCGCACTCGCCACCTAGAAACGTATGTCAGAGGACTCTTCAACAACAACAACATTACCCTCGAGTACACCCGAGCACATGTCGGTCAGGCATGGAATGAGATGGTGGATGTAATCGCCAAGGCGAGTGTTTACGACGGCATTGTCCCGGGGATCCCTACTGCCAACTGCACCGCGTTCATGGCGCTCGACATGGAATGGATTCATGTGCTTGGAACCATGGCGAACGGTAACATAGCCCCAACAAGGGCTGGAAGATGGTTAGTGTTACACACAGGCCATCCGCCGACGAGCAGCCCGCTACGACCGGAAGATATCATCCCGGTAGTCGGAAAAGAGGGCGGACCTACTACCAGCTGGTTCTCGTGCCGGTGTGCAACTACAAATGTCCAAGGCTTCAAGGGATGCCATGCCTACCTGGACGAACAGTATGCGGCAGCAGGATACCAGGTGCTTCTCTTTCAGGAGACCAAAGACCCCGAAGGCCAAACAGAGAGCAAGAACTACCTCAGGCTGGCCTCCCCCTCGAACAGCCATTGGGGTACAGCGATATGGTTGCACAAAGAGCTTGGGGTGCTTAACCTTGACGGCGAGCGGGTACGGCCGAGTTTGGATGCAATCAGCGTTAATTATCCACAACGACCCTCCACTGATGATCGTCGAGTTTGTCAAGGGCAAGTTTCGTATGCTGTTGTTCTCTGCCCACTTCCCGCATGCGGCTCGTGCTGCAGATCGCAGCGCATTCATTGACAAGCTCGAGAAAACCATCAGGAACGCCGGGAGATTCGACATCATCATCGGCGGGTGTGATGCCAATGGCAGACCGCCACCAAATCATGGTGACGTGACTGGAACCCTGGAGTTTGGGGAGGACGATGAGGCTGGCAGACAGTATGCCGACTGCCTGCAGCGACTTGGCCTCTGGTTGCCGGGAACGTTTGAACAAATGCACAGTGGAAGTAGTTCCACGTTTCGACATGCGACTGGCAACCTTCACCGGATAGATTTCCTGACACTTGGTGGCACATCCTCCTTGGCTGGTGCCAGCAGCTGGGTTGATGAGACGATCGATCTAGCCGCGGTGCGAGAAGATCACTGGCCGGTTGCCGTTGAGATCTGGGGCCAACTACATGGTGATTGCCACCGGAAACGTCTCAAAAAAGTGAGATATGACCGCGGCAAGATGATGACCCCGGAGGGCAAGGCAGTGATTCAGCGGGCATGGAACGACTATCGGCCCCCACCGTGGTGTAGCCATATCGACGACCATTGCAAGCACATGCAAGAGTATGTCACAGCCTGCCTGGAAACCCACTTTGCCATCGACAACAAAGGTCCGAAAGCCATGTACATCACCGATGAGATTTGGGGATGGCGCTCCCAGAAGATCCGATTCAAGGACTTGGTTGGTCACCGCCGCGGCCTTTGGAGCCGCCTGCTCGGAGTTGCCTTTGCACAGTGGGCCGGACGGCAAACTGAGCAGGTCGAAGCGGCTGTTACAAAGGAAGGACTGCTGTACCAGCTGGCGTCTAGTGCTGTTGGATTCATCACAAGCCGAATCAAAAAGGCGGTCCATGTCAGCAAGGCGAACTACTTGCAGTCCTTCTTTGATGGACGCCCTCAGTCGGTCACCCAGTTGCTGCAACAAGCCAAGCGACTTGGGGTCGGTGGCCGACAAAAACGAGGTGGCCGGCAGCCTTTACCAGCCCTCCGAGATCACCAAGGCAGTCTGGCCAAAACGCCGGAGGATCACGACGCCATCTGGCTACGCCACTTCGGGCGACAGGAGTGTGGTGAGACCTTGAAGGTCGAGGAATTCCTCAAGGAAAAGGACATCGCGAGCACCCTCCGAAGCGACATACAATGGTCCCTTGCAGATTTGCCTACTCTGACGGAGATCGAGGCGATGATGCGGATCGCCCCGCGGGGTAAGGCAATGGGTTTGGATATGATACCGGGGGAAGCCCTGGCAGCCGCACCGGCGGCCGCGGCAGCCATGGTCCAACCCCTCATGCTGAAGGCTGCAATGGGGTTGCAGCAACCGCTGCAGTGGCGCGGTGGCATCTTGTACTCCGCGTACAAAGGCAATGGTGATTCGAGCAATCCGGCGAACCATAGGGCATTGTTTGTATCAAGCGTCGTCGGCAAGGCTTTTCACCGCCTCATCCGCAACAAAACGGGGGAACAACTACAGCGCGAGCTTCATGAACTACACCTTGGTAGCAAAGCGCGAGCCCCCATCACATACGCCACGCTCTTCATTATCAGCCACCTCCGCAGATGCAAGGCAAGTTCGAGGGCGGCAGGAATCCTATTTCTGGACACGGCCTCTGCTTATTATACAGTCCTCCGTGAAGCCGCCATGGGCGATATACGGCTGGATGAGACGGTGGCGAAGATAATGAAGCGTTTCAATCTGGATTCAGAGGAAATGGCCAACCTCTGGGAACTCATCCACAGTGGAGGCGTCATGAAACAGGCGGGCACTACTGACGCCCTCCGCGCCATGGTGCGTGATTTCCATCACAGGACGTGGTGTGTAACCAAGCACACGGGAGGAGGCTGTTTGGCCTCCACGTACGCTGGAAGCAGACCGGGCGAATCATTCGCAGACGCGATTTTCGCGTTCATTTATGGAAGAGTCCTTGGCCGCATCTTTGAAGTCGCATACGGGGAGGATCTCCTCAGCGAAGTTGGATGCGACATCGAAGCAGGCCCTTTCGGTGCGAGATGTGCTGGAGGGGAAGTCGCTGTCAGAGACACGACTTGGGCCGATGATACGGCAATACCTTTCGATGACGAGGATCCAGCACGGATGCTTAGGAAGGCACAACGACTTTCTGCGATTACTATTTCGACCTGCGCAGCTTTCGGCCTTCAACCGAACCTCAAGAGAGGGAAGTCGACCCTTCTCTTGGCCATGCCTAAAAAGGGAGCAGCACGAGCCAAAAAGCAGTTCTTCGAGCATGGCCGGCCAACCCTGCGATTACCGGATCTAGACTTGGAGATACCGGTAGCCCCCCAGTACACACACCTGGGTGGGCTCTTGGACATTGGCTGCACCCTCCAACCGGAGATGAGGAAGAGGTTAGCTTTGGCTGGTGGTGCCTTCGACGCTGGCAAGCGGCTCCTCTTCGGGAACAAACAGTTGCCGCTGGCAACGCGGGCACAGCTGTTCCACTCCACGATACTGGCGGTCTTCTATAACTTGGCTATTTGGATCCCGGAGGGCGAAGCATGGCGCAAGCTCTCTAGCGGATATACGAGAGTTCTACGGCGACTACTCGCGGCTGAAGTTGGAGGGCATCGGGCATGCAAAATCCCAGGACCGATAGTACATTTGTCGACCGGCAGTTGGAGCCTTGAACTTCAAGCTGTCAAAAGCAGATTGAGCCTGTTGGTTTCAATGGCCGTTGGAGGCCCCGAAGCCCTTTGGGCTGTTCTCCAGCAAGAGCAGAAATGGTTGGAGTCCGTTGGAGTATGTACGTCAGGACTTGGAGTCGATCGCCGAGGTCTACCCGGACATGCCACGACCGAGGGCGGCGGAATGGGCCAATTGGGTAGTGTATCTACGAGAACAGGGGGCTCAATTCAAGTCCAGAGTCAAGCAGCACCTCCAAAGACGACATGACCAGCAACGACAGGAGGATTCCGTGATTGTTGGTTTATGGGGGCTGTACCGACTGGCGTGCCGAGAACTCCCTGGAGGCGGGTCCCTACATAGGACATGGAGCTGCAGGATGTGCTCTCGTCAATTTCGCACCAAAGGCGGGCTCGGAGCCCACCTTTTTAAAGTGCACAAAAGGGTTGCGGAGTACAGGCAGTGTGTCAATGGCACCAGATGCAAGGCTTGTGGCAAAGACCTGAGGACGACGGCTCGCTTGGCCATTCACTTACGTGACAATGTGAAGTGCGTCCGAGCCCTTCGAGCAGGAGGGCAAACTGTGAATGAGGTTCTCCCTGGACAGGGGAGCAGGCAAGCCCGAGCGAAGTTTGTTGAGGAGTTCAACCTCGCACCTACGGCATGTGGTGAAGGTGAAGTGCCCCGTTTCGATGGTGTGTTGTGGACGGAACCTCAGCGGCAAGCTTACCGGAGTGTCTGCGATGCCCTACTAGAAGAACAGATGTGGAATGACATGCAGCAGGTCAGGGAGACTACGCTGGCGACCCTCGCCACCTACCCGCTCTACTTTGAGGAGGAAAGGATGATCGTAGAGTATGTTGCCGGGGAGGTCGAGGAACTATGGCGTAGCGATGTCACTGACCCGTGGCCAGAGCATGTGTTTGAGGTCATTCGAGCTGGGCTTCGAGAACCGGCTGAATGGCTCGCACCGTTCGCGGCGAGCGAGAATACGGAGATAGAGACAGAGGCCTCGTTAGCCAACTTTGTCAAGGGCGAGAGGCATGCCTGGGATGATCTTCTGCAGGCTTGCCGACGCGAGTGCGTGACCCCATCGTTGCAGCCGTTCCAACTGGATTGGTCAAGGGAAGCAAGGAATGACCGACCTAGTGGCGTAGACGTAGACCTTGCCGCGCTCGACGAGCCCTTAAGTTTCCTGCCCAGAAAGGTGTTTCGGCTATGGCAGCTGGTAAGTACAGGTCAAATCGGCAGCATAGCAGCGGACCCAAGCTTCTGGAAGAGCCCGTACGGACAAGTGTTCGTCAATTTGAGGGCTGAGATGCAACCCTAATTAGTGCCGCGTACACCTCTGAAGGCCTCGAAATGAAAATATATATCTATCTATCTATCTATATATATATATATATATATATATGACTTGATGGCCTTAGGGCCTAGGGGTTTATGGGCTTAGGTCGAGGCGATTGGGCTTTATGGGCTTGGGGCTTTCGGGGTTCAGGGCTTGAGGCTGTCCAGGTCCAGGTGCTCAGCGCGTAGGGCCATGAATCCACGATCCCTAAGGCTCCATGTACCCATATAATGTATACTTAGGCCTTAAAGTACCTATATAGGCACCCCCTTTTTGAGGCTTAAGTCTCTACTAATTATAAAGGTACATGGAGCCTTTGGGGATAATCCAAGACTCTGCTCATCGCCGCTTTGGAGGTTGCAGGCGAAACAATCCGGAAATAGATCCTCCTTCTCGGCACGGTAGGCAAGAGTAACGGTTACTGGGATACATATTGTATGGTTAGTAACCTTAGGAAACTGGAGCCGGGCATCTTGCCGGCGAAACAGATCCTTCGAGGAAGCTCATCGTGAGCCCCTTGCCGGTATTGCATTTCCTTTGCGCACTTTCAGGGGCCTTAATAATTAGAATAGGGTTTTGGGGGCCATTATTGCCGTTATACTATACATATAATAAGGAGCCCCCCAAAAGAACATATAGGTAATTCTGTATATATGTATATACATATACATATATATATATATATATATATATGTATATATATCTTTCAGCGGCACGTCCGCGAGACGGCTGAGGAACGCAGCCGGCAAGATGCCAGGCTCCAGTTTCCTAATAGGTTACTACAGCAGAAGCCAGAAAGTTGGAACATCATTAGCCTCATGCCCTTAGAGTAAAGCATAGGGATTATCCAGTATGAATCATCCTAAATTTATGTTCCAACTTTCTGGGGTTCATTGTAACCATATAATATGTGCCCCAGTAACCTACTACTTAGGCAACTGGAGCCTAGGGCTGGGCAGGACACCCATTCTCTGACCAAGAGCGCATCGTCGTCCGATGCCGCCATTGGACCCTCTTCTTGTCTTTCATGTCGTTGTAATGTACATAATAAAAAGCCTCGGAAGTGAACTCTCACAGAGGACACTGATCACCCCCATCACAGGAGAACCTATACAACCCATTGAAATGTATCAGACCTTGAAGAACCGCAAAAGAGACACGAATTCCGCAAGCCGGCGAAAGCCCTTACCCTCAGGCTCAGTGGCTCCTGATGAGCAGCACCGTTCATGAGACACCGGAAGTAGCCTCAGGAGTCGCCAGTGCTTGGAAGAAAAAGGGTGCCCTTTTTGGTTTAAAGGGGTCATAAGGGAACCTAAACCCTGAAAAAGGGAATAAGGGCCTACTCTGGGTCCTAGGTGCTTAGGGATAGATGAGCGATGCTATACCAGGAGCTGTAGGGTCTAATTATTCCATACGGGACTTATAGTTTTGGGCTTGTGGGGTAGTAAATGACTATGGAGGAAAGACTTATAGCCTCAGGGCCTTTAGTGTCTTAGGTTTAGGGTTTAGGGTTTAGTAGCAATGTTGGGTTTCCAGGCTAGGGTTAGGGGTGTTGGACGAAGAGGCAAACTTCTGCAGGGCAGCTGCCCTTTGACCCTGGACAGTGGTACCTTTTCTGGCTATCTTAGTCCTTCTATTCAACTGGGGATATAAGTAGGGCAACTATAGGTTTAAGCCAGATTCGGGGATATGTAGAAGTCCACGTATTACCAAGATGAACTTCAGGAGTAGGGCAAATTGAACAAAATGGGGATCGCTAACCCTGGCAGATCGTTGGTCTCATCCTGCTGCAAGTGGTAGGCGTCGGTAGATAATTCGGCGGGGCTCGCGGATTTTCGATTTGGGGAGGGCGAGGGGGGGGGAGGGCGGGGGGGTTCTAGGTTGTTGTGGTGTTCTTGCCTCTGTCTGTCGGCTCGAAGCGTGCCTCGAACACCCCCAGCCAGTTTCCGGGCTCAGATTGTATTTGGAGCTCCCTTTACAGCACCGATTTATATGCGCTCCTTCCAAGCGGTGATATATCACGCCTAAACAACCTCATGTCCAGCCTTTAAGCAGACCATCTCGAAGGCAAATAATCCTGATGCCATTCCAATACAGATTTGGGGAGCCGAACCCAAACCCCAAATTCTAAACCCTGGATCCTAATGTCGGAACCTGGTTAAGAAACCTTGGACCTTTATTTGGGTTCCTTATATGAATCCTACTACTGTTGTTGGGGTTACAGGCCCAGGGTTTCTTAATCAGGTTCCTACATTAAACTGTAAACCCAAACTTAACACCACATATTGCAAGCCAGGAGCAGCAATGAAGGATGCCCATCATGTGCGTGACCTGCTGTGCGAAGCACAAAGAGGTTCGGAGGACACTGCTTGGAGGAAAATGGGACTTAGTAAGTATGGTTATAAGTACCTTACTTGTGGTTAGAAGTATGGTTACCTTAATAATAACCGTATTTACTAAGTCCCATGATCCTTTAAGTGCTTGCAAGACCGCGAGCCCTTGACCAAGGCGGTAGAAATCGTAGGGCCTGCCCTTTCTTTGACGTCTCTAGTGTTAGGATCTCTTCGATGTAGCTTTTTTGGTAGGGGGGTCGGAATCAGCGGTCCGCTTGAACTAATCACAGGCTGACAAGAAGTCCTAGATATGCGTGGTTGTCAAAATTAGGGCCCCTTTTTGGTCCCTATTATAGTGTGGCACCTATTATATAAAGTATCCCAAAAGGGATACCATAATTTTGACAACCACCCATATAGGTGAAGGTATACTACTTACTCACAGTGAACCCTCTTCCTCCAGCCCCTGAGCTCTAAGTTCGTCCCGGCAGGTGCCCGCCTGGTGCAGGACGAACTTCAACACGCGCTCCATCGACAGGGGAGATATGGTCTCCTGACGGTATAGTAGAGCTTAAGGTTGAGTAGGCTTCAAAACGCGCTTCAGTAGGGTTTAGTAGGGTGTACTTGGAGGCCCATGGGACTTAGTAAGTAGGTTATAAATAGGGTTACAAGTACCTTAAATGGAGCTACCGCAATTATAACCCTAATTATAACCTACTTACTAAGTCCCCTGGGCCTTTAAGTAGGGTTCTGCAGAGAATCAGTGCCGATCATGAGTGTTTGAGCATGGATTGCTGTGTGTGCACAGATGCGACAGCATGACGACATGCGGACTGACGATGGCTCAAGAAAAAGGGCGTGTGACCTAAATTCGGAGTGCGATTTGAGGGTTGTGACTTATGTCTGGCCCCGCACAAGAGGCCCCAGGGCCTCCAGATCATGATGGTTTTAGCGACCTCCCTGCTGGATATCAGCAGGTGATGAGCCCAAGTGGCGGTGCTGCGCAGGCGACTGGACCTCGACATTTGCAAGACCAGAGGCCGAATGGAGTAGCTCCACGAGTCGGTCAGCCTATTGCGACAGAACCGGACTACGCTAGAGCCCTCGGGGTTGCTAGCGACGGCGCGACCAACACCGGACTCGGCGCGCGTACGACGGATGTTTTGGCTGGCGCTGCTGGAAGACCTACTGGAAGTGGTGATACTGACGGTGGTGCGGGCAGTGCTGGACAGCAGGATATTCAGCAACTTGGGAGAAGGATGTCGCGAACAGGGACAGAGACGTTCAGGTCTCCAGTCACTGGTGAAGGGCATGGGAGAATGGAAAGGCCTTTGTTTCCCCATGCGGAACAGAGGTCGTCAACACCGCGGCCGGGCTCGGAAGCCGGTGGCTTTATGTGGCCCTCTCCATTACCCTCACCGACTACCAGATCGATCAACGGAGACGAGGGCGTTCCCCAAGTAGCCGGGAATGTGATTGCTCAGCAAGGAGCAGCGGCGATGAAGTGGCTCACGCGATTGGGTGAGTTTGTTCAGAGGCGTGTGTCTCAACAAAGTCGTCCTGGTGAACAGACGATGGTGGTGCAGGAGACAGTGTGGACTCCTACCAGGCGGCAGGGACATGAACGTGGAGAAACAGAGCCGTTGTTCGACCAGGAGCAGTCCCGGAGGTTCCAAGAGATGGCGTTGGCGGCTCCCCAGCTTTATGGAGCAACTCAGCGGACGGTCGGTGGAGGATCAGATTCTTCTCGTTCGTTCACCAAAGAGCAATTGGAGCTGGAGGTGAAGAAGCAAGTCGACCAGGCCATGGAGCAACAGAAGGAGATCAATGAAGAAAACCAGAGGTTGAGAATGGAGGTGGAGCGGCTACGCAGTGAAGCGGCGAGGACCGCGGATGTGCGAGAAGAGTACGTTCCTACGATGCCTCAGCCTGTGAGAGAACCCTCTCGGGAGCGACATGTTCATGAGCGAAGGTAATCTTGCAGGACTTCCCGGACATGTTCGTGAGCCGGGGGTGTTGAGTGCTATGCGGGGCAGCGGTGAGGATCTAGGTGGCAATCCAGGAGTACTTCGTGAACATGATAGCGAGCGAAGTGGTGATCGGGCTTTGGGCTTGCATGGAGTTTTACGGGGCAATACTTCTGGACTACCTGACCCAGGTCTGCTACGTAGCAGACCCCTCACGGTGATACGCGGGAACTACCTTTAGCTTCACGTGTACCAGGCGGCAATCCTGAAGGACCACCGAGGCATGATGGTTGTGGGAGCGGCGAAGCTTCAGGCAATCGTGGAGGGCTCGGAGGTAATCTTTCAGGACTTCCAGGACACGTTCGTGAGCAAGGGGGTCCTATGAAGGCAAGGAGTCAGAGCCCTCAGAGGTCGAACTTTCTGGGATTTCAAGGACGTTACGGCGGCTCTGAGGGTGATCCTTCTGCTGGGCGACGCGGGCTTCCTTCTGGAGGTGGTGGTGCGAGCTTGGTGGGAGAGCAAGGGCAACAGCAGCCTAATAGAGATGGCGTTTTCGGAGGTAATCTTCCAGGACTTCCGGGACATGTTCGTGAGCAAGGGGGTCATTTATTTAAGAATATGCCGGGCATCTACAGTGGTCCTTTTGAGAATGCGCCGGGCATCTACAGTGGTCCCCCTCCAGGTTTGGGTGGAGATCAACAAGGTGATCCTGGAGCGAGTGCCGGAGAACGACGGTCTGGACCTGGGCAAGCTACAGGAGCCAATGGCGGGTCTCTTGAGGCGTTGGTTCAAGGGATGACTCAGCTGCAGGCGGCAATGGCTATGCAACTGGGAATGAACTCGGCAAGACCCGAGCAAATCAGACCAGGCACCACAGCCTCGGAACTTCCGAAGCTGAGTGAGGCGGACGAGATGGCGGCGATCAACGTTGGGGATTGGCTTCACGGACTCAGCGGGCCCATGGGTGATCTCACTGATGGCAGCGCGCAATGGTGGTCGCAAGTCCTGGCCTCCTTAGAAGCCTTCTACAAGGATTACATCCATGCGTCGGCGGTGAAGAAGCTACAGCTTAAGGCCGATGACTACGCCCAGGACATGCTCAAGGAGGCAAAGTGGTTAAGAGTGGACAAGCGGGCGGCTACGATGTTGCTGCAGGCGATTCCCGACAGCATCAAGACGGAGGTTTTGGCCAATAGGCTACAAACGACCCTGAGTATCTTGGCGCGGATCCTTACCATTTACCGCCCAGGGTCAGCTGTGGAACGCCAGCAAGTGTTGAAGGCCTTGGAGTCTCCTACTACGGCAAGCTCACCTATGGAACTGGTAGAAGTCTTGAGGCGATGGGCGAGGTGGTTGAAAAGAGCTCAGGACTTGGCACTACAAGTGCCAGATCCCTCTATCCTCTTGAGGGGTTTGGATGCGGCGTCGAGGACTCAGTTGGAGAAGCACGGCGAGGTTGCGTTCCGGGCAAACATGTTAAGGTACAGCTTGGAACTGGACTCAGCGCCCTCTTTGATATCAGTGGTCAAGCTTCAATCACACCTTTTGGCCGAGTTTGAGCAGATAGCCTACCGAGGGAGGACAAGAACGACATCTACCACCACACCGTCTATGAAGGCTATGGGGGCAGCCGCACAAGAAGGGCAAGGTGGGGCTTCGCCGAAGGGGCCTGGCTCTCCCTCCACTACAGCGACGTCAAGACCTTGTAAGTTTTTCTTGATGGACAATGGGTGCCAGCGTGCAAACTGTAAGTTCAGCCACGACTGGGCCAATGTACCCAAGGAGGAGAGAGCGGAGCGGTGCAAAGCTTGCGGAGGCAAAGGCCACATGCGAAAGAACTGCCCGATGAAGGTTGGTGGTGGAGAAGGCCAGCGACGCGATGATCCTAACCGTGGTGCTCCGCAGCCCAAGGTTAAGAATGTGAAGGGTGGCGACAACAAGCGGGATGACGGGACAGCTCCGCTGGCTACCTCTACGGCAACCTCCTCATCGGCTCCAACGGGGACTGCGGGTTCGACAAGTTCGGCGAGTGCTTCTATGGACTCTACGGCTTCGGCACCCAGTGGGTCAGAGTCTGCGTCTTCGGTGAGAGAGGTTGATGATTTCTTAAAGAATGCCACGCAGATGTTGAAGATGATGGCCGAACAGCATAACCCAGGACGGGGCGGACCTTCCATGAAGATGCTGAAGAAAGCGATTCGGCATTACGAGTCGAAGATGGCCTTGGTGGATTCGGGTGCTACACACCCTTTGCGGTTGGGGTCCTCCTCGGAATGGGCTGGAGCTGATGAAGTGGATGTTGTAGTAGCTGGAGATGGTGTTCAGCGAATGCGACAGACCACGGCGGGAACTCTGCTACTGGAGCCGAACACCTCAAAGGCTCAAACCATCCTGCCGGTTGGAAGCTTGGTCAGCGTGCTGGGCTATGAGTTGGCTTGGACAAGGAAGAGGTGCGTACTCAAGGCGCCGGACGGCAGGGAGTTTGGTTTGCGTGTGAACTCAGGATGTCCAGAGATGAGCGAGGCCACCGCCTTGGAGTTGATTGCCGAGATCGAGCAAGAGAAGATCGCGCACCTCAGCAATAGGACTGAGGAGACCAAGAAGGCGGTGGCGAGGGCTCGTGCGGTTCAGTTAGATCCTTGCTGGGAAAGAAGTATGAAGGAGTACGTCAAGAATGGGAAGTTTGAGGATGGTTTCAGTGCGCTGGCAGCAGCACCTTGGGCCACGGGAGAACTTCATGAAGATTTGGCAAAGATTGTGACGGATCTCCCCAAGGATGAGACCGAGGCCTGGGCGCTTATGCAACAGCTCGGGTTCAATCGGAGGATGCGGAAGCGCCTCATGAGCAAGGACTGGATCGTGAAGTTGTGCAGTGGCAAGCGGTCGGCGGTTGATAAAGTGTTCAAGGGGGTGGAGAGCAATGGCACCGTGGTGTTGGACATCGATGTGCAAAGGTTGTCTCCACTGGATTTGTTCAAGGCCGGCCAGGGCGTGATGCGGATGTTGTTGTGGGGAGCGGCTACGGGAAGGGTGGCAGGAATCCTATGCGGGCTTCCTAAACACAACGCGCTGGAGCACTCCCTGAGGGCGGTGGTGTTGAATGAAGTGGCCATGGCCGGAAGAACGGCTATGTGTGGCGAGATGGACATTCCCTTTGATGGTGTGGCGTTCTCTTTGTGGGCTTCCGCAGAGGCTGAGCAAGATGAGTCCTCGCTGGTGTGGGTGTTCAAGTGGTTTCGGAGGTGGATTGCTGAAAATGGCTTGGACCTATGCCATTTCGAACAAGGAGGTTTGGGTCACTCTATGAGGCGGCCTACGACTATGACTACCAACCTGGATGTCGCGGAGTTAAAGGGGATTCAAGATTCTCGGCCGGAACCTGAGAGCGAGAAGGGGTCATGGTCTATGTGGGCACCAATGATGGCGAGAGTGCTGGTCAGAGGTTTGAAGAGATGGAAGCAGCGCCCTGGATGGTATTCTCGTTTGGTGAAGGCGCTGAAGGCGGTGGACAGACGAGCGTGGGAAAGGCATTTGGCCAATGACCACGTACCTTATCGTGCAGATTGCCTACAATGCATCCACACCGCTACCGGGCGTCCTCACAGGAAGTGCTTGCATCGGGACTGCTATGTTTTGAGCGCTGATACTTTGGGGCCAGTGCGCATTGCGGGCACGAAGGGTGAGAGGTACGCGGTTGTCTTCACCTACCAGTTCCCGAAGCAGAAGCTGATCCCAGAGGACCAACCTGTTCGAGAAGAAGAACTTGATGGGTGGAGTTTGGATGCGGAGACGGACAAGACGGAAGCCGGAGCGGCTGACTACGGCGAGCTGGAAGAGTATTCGCCGGACGACGGACCGGATGTGGAGTTATCGCCAGCGGAACTTGAAGAACTACAGCGAGTCCAACGAGAGCAACCCGGTGATCTACCAGCAGCCGAACTAGATGCGGCGGTTAAGGTGCTTGGAGCGAAAACCCTGGACAAGAAGGATGTTTCTGACGATTGGTGGGAGTTCAGGGAGTCTACTGGGGTGCTGATCAGGCATCATAGAACACCGCGTACAAGGTTGTTTCGGCCTACGTCGTGGAATGGGTGCCCGGTGTCGCCTTCCAAGCTTGATTACACGAGAGTCACCGAGGTGAAGTATGTTGGTGGTGGTGTGGAAACGGAGACGTCGGATTGGCATGGTCCCCAATCGGGTTCGAGATCTTTGGAGCGCCCTTGGACCGGAAGAACTACTTTTCACATTTCCACGGCCGAGATCCCCGAGGAGGAGTCAGAGCTACAGAAGGACGAGGAGACGTGGGAACAACTCATAGGCGACTTGACAAAGCCGGTTGAGATGGACACGATCTACTTGGTTTACCCTGTCAGAGCTCGGCGAGGCGGTGACATAATGCTGGCGGTACAGGAGGCAGTCTTGAGGTTGAAGTTACTTGGCCTCCCCGTTGCGCGACTTCATTCAGATCGGGGCTCTGAGTTTGCGTCGAAGGGGCTACGTAAGTGGCTGTTGGACCACGATATCTACCACACCCGTTCGGAGGCTTTGGTTCCACAAACAAATGGTGCAGCTGAGCGTGGAGTTCGATGGTTCAAGACGATGGCCAAGGTGTTGTTAGCGGAGGCAAAAGTGGGCCTTAAGTACTGGACTTTGGCAATGCAGCATGCGGCCAACCGACGTCTACACGAGCGGCTAGGTCTCAACAAGCCGAGGTTGTTGGCTTTTGGTTCCAAAGTGATGATACGAAGAAAGGTGTTTGGGAATAACAAAAAGTATGACCTCACCGACCGCTGGGAGCAGGGCATCTACCTGGGATTGTCGGACACCATCAAGGGGGGTGCTGTGGTTTTACGGCCCACTGGAGTGTTGACGGAGACGTTGAACCTTAAGGATGGTGTTGTGGATCCTCATGTACTACTAGCGGAAGCTACGGGTGATGATGATGGAGGCGGTGTTGGAGATATCCCTACAGGAGAGGTCCCAGTGGTTGAGCTACCTGAACCAGATCATCGCTTGAGTGGAAAACAACCTCCTCCTGCTCTTCGTGCGTTGAAAACAACTATGGAAGGCGGTGGTGGTGACCAGCGTGTACCCTCAGGATGGACGATGAGATCGTTGGTGAATCAACAAGAAGACAGGGCCCGCTACTACTATAACATGGGCAAGTTTGATGATGAAACTTGTGCTGAAGTTCTAAGAGATGTTCATGTTGGTAGCAAAGCAAAGAGATCTACGCGGGGAACCCATTCTTCAGCACTGATTCTTGGAGGATATGTTCATGGGGGAATGCGCGGGGCTACTACGGCAACTCGGAGAAGGCCTTGGCTTACGAAGTACTTGAACATGGTGCTGAGACAACGCACGATGGAGAGCACGAATCGGGAACCATGTTGGGCAACGCTTGGAGTGTTTAAGGCTACAGAGATACCCCCACATCGTGATCTTCGCAACAAGCCGGGCATGCCAAACTTTGTTACGGAAGTTGGTGGTGAAGAGTTTAGGGGGCTTTGGCTGTCGGATGCGCATGAGTTGTCCAAGGAGGATGGCACAGAAGGAAAGGACCTACAGCGTGAACTACCTGATGGCGCGGTGGCTGAGGGCAGGGTTGTGGACATCAAGGGCAAGGTTGCTGTGTTTGACCCTAAGAAGTTGCACTCGTATGTCGAGGGAGAGGACGGCAACAGATGGATCCTAGCAGGCTTCACCCCCCTCAATGTTGAGAGTATACCTCCAGAGCCTGTGGCGTTCATGAACAAGTGTGGTTTTCCTTTGGAAGGTACTGGTGCAGAAGTACATGATGTGGATGATGTAGAATGGGGAAGCAGTGACAGTGAGCTTTCTGATGATGCCTCTACAGGAGAGGAGGAGGACTTGGAGAATAAAACAAGAGTTCTTCGGTGTGAACTTCAGGAGGAGGAATTTCAGGAGGCCAACATCAATGACGCGACCCCGTATCTGCTGATGCTCCACAATGCCTTCGAGGACTGTGCCAGGGAGTTGGAACGTTTACAGCTTAAGGCGATCAAGAGGGTGTTGAAGGTATCTCCCGGGACGTCTAAAGAAGAGGAAGTCGAGGAACTTTTGAAGACGCTCGAGGGTCCCTTGGAGGTCGTTCACACTGTGAGTTTGCCGGAGGTCAAGAAGTATGTTCAGTTGTGGAAGGAGGCAATTGTAAAAGAAGTGAATGCGCTCATGAGCTCTGGAACAGTGAAGCGGCTGTCCCCAGAACAAACCAGGGAGCTGAAGAAGGCGGGCCTCACGGTGCTACCTGGGAAGGCAGTATTCACTGCCAAACCTCCGAGTGAGGCTTCGAGCAAAGAGAGATTCCGCAGAAAATGCCGGATTGTGGTTTGCGGAAACTTTCTACCAGCCCAGGGTCAGAATGTGTATGCGGCCGGCACGTCGGCCGACACGTTGAGGATTGCTGTGGCTCTGGCAGTGCAAAGAGGATGGAGCATCGGAAGTACCGATGTTGCCAATGCTTTTACGCTGGCACCTATGCCGTCGGAGCTCACCTACGCGCTAACTCCACCAACCATCGTGATCATGGCTGGTGCAGCAGAGCCAGGGGAAACGTGGCAGATCACGCGGGTGCTCTACGGTTTGAGAGAGGCACCTAGGCTTTGGGGTGACTTCAGGAACCTACGATTCCAGGAAGCGAAGATTGTGTACGGCGACAAGGTGCTTGTGCTGACCGCTACGACCACGGATGAGAACCTCTGGCGAGTGACTTACCAAGGAGAGGACACCATCCTAGGACTGGTCTTGGTCTATGTGGATGATATCTTGATGCTGTCTGAGAAGGAGATTGTCAAGACCATTTACCAGTGGTTGGTGTCAGACTGGAAATGCTCCAACCTTGAGTGGGCAGAGGAGGACTCGTTGAGGTTTTTGGGGATAGAACTACGAGTTTTTGGTGGAGGCGTTCATCTATCTCAAACGGGTTATGTTCGTGATCTACTACGACAACATGGAATGCCGGAGGAGGTGGGCGCGACACTTACAGTCCCGTGTGCTCGGGAGTGGCTTCAAGATGTTGACTCCGATGAGGAACCGGAAACCGCCGAGGAGGCCACTGTGAGAATGGCCCAAAAGGCTACGGGTGAGGCTTTGTGGCTTTCGACGAGGAGCAGACCGGAGCTTGCGCATGCTGTTGGGTGTATGGCTTCGCTAGCACTACGACGACCGTTGAGAGCTTTGGAGATAAGCAAGCGAGTCATGAAGTACCTCTCCAAGACGGTTGAGTACGGGATCTGGTACAAGGTGGTGCCAGATGATCCAGCTTTGGTTGTGTATTCGGATGCCAGCTACGCACCAGGAGGAGGAAGATCCTACGGGTCAACGATGGCGCAAATCTACGGCATGCCAGTTGCCTGGAGGGCATCAAAGCAGCCAATCATTACTTTGTCGGTTGCTGAAGCTGAGTTGTATGAAGGATGCTCGGCTGTGCAACTGGGACTAGGAGTGGCTGCGTTGTTGTCTGAGCTCAAGCTGGATCCAGTGATGCATTTGCGGATTGACAATGCTGCTGCTCAGGGCTTGGCCAGTGAAAGCCCGGGAACATGGAAAACGAGGCACTTAAGGATCCGAGCAAGATTCTTGAGACAGGAAGTGGCGGCTCAACGACTGGTTATTTCTCATGTCAGCGGGAACCTTCAGAAAGCTGATTTGGGGACCAAAGGGTTTGATCTGCCGAAGTTCAAGGCCTTGATGGACCTGTGGCAGTTGGTGCCATGCTGCGCTCGGGAGGCAGCTGGAGCGGCATTGAGGGCTTTGAGGGTGACTAACCAACGTGGGTTGCTGATGTTCATCATCGTTTGCTGTTGCTTGATCAAAGGTGTTGAAGGGCGAAAAGAAGACCTAGCCTTGGATGGTTCAATGGAGTTCTACTTTGTCTTGGTTGTTTCCTTGATTGCGGCGGTCGGGCTTTGGGAGTTCATGAAGTATGTGAAGAATAAGACGTGCGTGTGGTGGAACTCAAGGCAACGTCGCAATCAGAGGGCAGAAAGGCTCAGGAACCGCACAAGGGATGCAGTTCAGGAGGAGCTAAGACGCCGAGAAGTTGAGTTGACCCCAAGGACACCTATAACAAGGGCATCTTCATCATCTACTACCCCAGCTAGGCGTCAGGGCTCTACCGTACCAAGGTCAGATGTTTGGCAAACGAGCTACAGTGTTGGGGTGCAGACCGACCCCATGCCACCGATGATACCAGCGCACCGGCTTGAAGCCTACACAGGGCCGTTCTACATTACGACCCACGGAGATAGGGTGCACATGACATCTTACTGTCATGGCCAGCGGAATGCCACGAGAGCATCGAAGAGATACGACTTGTGTGACTATTGTGATCGGGCACGTGGTCTCTATGTGCTTACGCCTCCAGATGGATGACCGTCAGGAGGCGAGGAGGAGTGCAGAGAATCAGTGCCGATCATGAGTGTTTGAGCATGGATTGCTGTGTGTGCACAGATGCGACAGCATGACGACATGCGGACTGACGATGGCTCAAGAAAAAGGGCGTGTGACCTAAATTCGGAGTGCGATTTGAGGGTTGTGACTTATGTCTGGCCCCGCACAAGAGGCCCCAGGGCCTCCAGATCATGATGGTTTTAGCGACCTCCCTGCTGGATATCAGCAGGTTCAGGGTTCAGAAGGGTTTAGGATTTGGTAGGGCCTATCCGCCGACCCCTCGGGGCGGCGCGCAGAAGCTGTGTCATGTTGTTTTTTGTTATATAGTATATTAGAAGGGGCCCCTCCACCCTGTAATAGTGGTATAATAGGAATATAATAGGGCCCTAATATAATCCTTATAGTCACTATTACAGGGTGGGGGCAGCTTCTAAGTTATATAGTCTAACAGCAGCACACCTGTAGTCTGGTATGGTGGAGTAGACTATCGTATAGAATCTTCGGGAGCCCTATGATCCTGAGCCCTCCAGCATTAAGATCAAAGGAGCTCCACACCTCCACATTTGCAGAGCTCCCTGTCTTTGGACTCAGCACATGTGGACATGTGGAATTCATTGAGTTCTCCCCTATCTGGGCGCGCAGACCTCGGAGCGGATCCAAGATTTTTTTCTGCAATTTGGGATCTTGGAGCCCAACATTGTGTCTGTCTGGCACATTTAAAGACATAACAAAATTAGATCTTTAAATCTGGGCCGGCCTGGATCCAAGATCCAAGTGTGCAGCAACAAGTTTCTTGGATCCTCAAGCCTAGATTTAAAGATTTAAGTTTTCAGATCTTTAAATCTGGGCCGTGAGGATCCAAGAAGGATCCAAGAAACTTGGTTCTGCAATCTTGGATCTTGGATCCGGGGAGATGTCAGATTTAAGGACTTGACAAACTTGAATCTGTAAATCTGGGCCCCGCCTGGATCCAAAATCCAAGATTGCAGAAGAAAGCTTCTTGTATCCTTCTTGGATGCTCAGGGCCCGGATTTCAAGATTCTAACAATTTGAATCTTTAAATCCGGGCCCCCCGGATTCAAGATGGATCCAAGAAACTTTTTCTGCAATCTTGGATCTTGGATCCAGGCGGGGGCCAGATTCAAAGATTAAAAACACTTAAATCTTTAGATCTTCGGTCCTCCTGGGAACACAACCTGTAAGGAACCTCCTGGGAACACACCCCGTAAAGAACAAACAAGCGTCCAGGGCGTCCCCTTCTGTACTTGAAGGCTCATGGGAATTAGTAAGTAAGGTTATAAGTAGGTTATAATTAGGATAACCCCACTTACGGGACTTATAAACCCCAGTCATAACCTACTTACTAAGTCCCATGATCCTCTAAGTAGGGTTTAGGGTTTAAGGCTGGTGAAGTTCGGGTCTTCTGCTGTCAGAAGCTTGGTTTGCAACTCAGCACGGGCTAGAAGGAGGGACCCTTAATGGGGACCCCTACCCTATAATGGGCTGTATAATGGGTATATAATAGCTATATCAAGGGTATACTTACTAAGGGTCCCTCCTTTTACCCTTGGACAGTAAATGCTAAATCCTAAACCCTTGACCCTAACGTCCTTACTCAGCAGGTTTACCTTTCTGAACCTTTGAAGACCCTCTAAGTGACTCGCTACTTGCCCCGACCTTTACCACGACCGTTCCCACCCCTTCCCAGGGCAAAGCCGGCGTAGCTATCGACCAAATCTCGCTCCCAAGTTCCGCGAAGTTCAGAAGCTGGAGCTCGTCCGCCGATCCCCAAACTTCTCACGTGTAGCGTAAACTGCTCCACTTCTGACCCGGACTCCTGGACGACGCACCCAGAGGGTCCAAGTACAAAAATAGCAGGGCCTTAGGTCCCAAGATCCATACTCTAAATGGTCTTTGGACTTTGAAACCCTACTATTTGGATGCTTGGATTCTCAGGTGAACAGAATTTGCCGTGCCAAGCGACGAAACTCTGCACGGCCGCACTACACCGAAATTCTGCCAGCCAAGGCAGGCAACGAGAATAATAACCGCGGAACGCATTTCAAAGTCAGCGCCTTTTTATATAAGCGTCTGTGCGCTATAGCTTCCACGCCTCGGGCATGCACATGAGCACAGTCTGTACTTGCTCTGCCGCATGCAGTTCGAGCCGAGTTGTCTTCAACCCAGAGAGCCCAATACCCCTCAATTGAGGAATATAATTAGCGTAAATCATGATATGAAACCCCTACTGATTTAAGGTATATTCCTTAATTAAGGGCTATTGGGCTCTCTGGCTACCCAACCCCAACATGGCGTCCAGCCTAACCTAGCAGCAAACAGGAAGCCCGCGGCGCGGCACATTTAGCGTGTTAAGTACTAAAGGGTTCTGATACCCAAAGGCTCCATGTACCCATATAGTAGGTACTTTGAAGGATAAAGGTGATTACTCTTTGGCGTGGAGTAGTACAGCTTGAGCTCCGGAGCTGCCAAGTCTGTGCCGCAGTCTGAAGTGTGCTTGGTGTGACGTGCTTTCAGACGCTTGGCTTCCCCGGAGACTACTTGGAGATTCATGGGTAGTTATAAGTAGGGTTATAAGCAAGGTACCTATACTTACAACCCATATGAGGGGACTTATAACTCCACCTAACTACCCCTGAACCTCCAAGTACTAAAGCACTAAGCTTTCCGTGAAATCCAGAAGTCTGTCTACTAAGGGTTCCTTTCTTCAGCGACACGTTTGCATCCAAGTCACTCTCCTAAACACACGGGCTTTCGGCTCCTGGCTAGGAAACTGCCAACAGAAGTAGTGAGGTTATGCACTGTAACTGTTGGAAGCCTAGCACCCCGTTTGTTTGACCTACAAAGACAGGATTCAGCAACGACACTCCACAGCTGTGGAAACTCTGAACCGAAATCACAAACTTCTGAACCTGACCCTGGACACCACCTCCCCCGACCCAAAACTCTAAGCATCCCTGAACCCTACTTCCCGAAACTCGGAACTCGCTGTCCTCGCTGTTAAGTATGGAGGACAAGCTGAAGACACCGACACGCCGGGACCTTAGCAGACGGCTCTCCAGTCGCTTTAGGGACTGGGGGGCTTAGGGTTTAGGGTTCAGGGGCTCAGGGTTTAGGGTTGAGGGATTTAGGGTTTATAAGATTTGTAGAGGAGAGAGAGCTTCAAATGACATCACTGGATCCCAAACCTGAAACCGTAACCACGATTAATGATTCCTTTCCCTTGTCAGGTACATTCAAACCTAAACAGTACAACTTGTTCATGGTTTCCTCTTCGTTTGTACTCAGCCACCAAACCCCCCCAACAGCTTGCACTGCTACATTCTATCTCGCTGCCTCCCCAAATTAATTGCGGACTTCGGGGTCCGTGCAATAAGGATGCAACATTTCCAGTATCGATGGCAGGATCTCACATTGGTACTCGCGAACTTCAAAACAGGCTATATAGGCTCACCAACGCATGGGGGAGTCAATTCTAATGTAGGAACCTGATTAAGAAACCCTGGGCCTATAACCCCCCAATAGTAGGACGCAAAAAGGGACACTAATAAAGGCCCAAGGGTTCTTAATCAGGTTCCTACATTAGACCCTAACCTAACGTCTGCCAGGATGCCCCGAAAAAGACCGAAAATAGGTGGCCCAAATATAGTGCCCTGGATGGTAGGATCCCTATTTTTAGGACCCCCAAAATAAGGTACCCCTAATTTTCGGAAACTCCCATTTAGCAGAGGGTACTTAGAGTGTCTAGGTGAATCCGTGGAAATGCAGTGGCAGCAGAGTGCTCTGTCAAGCGCCGCCAAGTGCAAGTACCGACTCACACCCTCCTTCCAGGACCCTCAAGCCCTAAACCAGAATTTCATGGCGGGGGGGGCTGGGATTGCTGAGTTTCTGACCAATCGGTGGCGCCGACTGTGGGCTTGCCTGGCCACATCGCAACAACAGGTCTTCGAAAGTCCCGTTAGCCACTTAGGGCATAATAATCTTGGAAATTTAAGGGTATATGTCTTTAAACTTGAAAGTTCTTAGCTGGATATACGTGCCGGCTACATTAAGGGAGCTCGAGCTGTATCCTGTAGAGGGTATGTATAACCCTAACCCTAAACCGTAAGTATGACCCGACGTCGAAGAACCGTGAGCCTTCCAAATCCCTGAGCTTTCGCTGAGGAGTGCTTCGCAGCATGACGGAAAGGGCCAGCCCTTTTTTGACATACCTTCCGCCTGGTCCAAAAGGAGCAGGATAATACAGTTTAATAAAGAAGTAAGCACTTAACCTGAGTTGCTTAGTTGTCCAGTATTTGGAGTCTAAAGTGCTTTCTTGTTGTCCTTACTGCAGGTTATAACTGTCTAAGCGTGCACCTGGACGTTAATTGGATACGTCGAGAGTTCCTATGACCCTGGGTGAAGGGCTTTGGTGTTGCTGTCTTGGGTGTGTTCCTTCATTCATCTGCTCCATGCCGGTGTGCCCCGATCAAGCCCTTCGAGCGACCTCAACACAAGCCTCGTAAACACACACACACACAAAGATGTTGTTGCCCTCAGCTCTTATTCCCATCTACAACCATGCCATGGCCCCTAAACCTTAACACCCTGAACCCCAAACCCGATACCCTAAACCCTAAACCCTAAACCCCTAAACCCTAAACCCCTAAATCCTAAACTCCTAAACCCTAAACCCCTTACCTACCGTGGCAAAAGCTCCTCAAATCCCAACCTGCAGGTTCACCCTGAACCCCCTCGGCCCGGTTTCGGGTTTATTCTAAGTCTAAGGGTCCTGACGAATTGGGGAACCTCAACATTGAGGGTTTGTGAGACCCCAAAGAGACCCAAGGACTCTCCCTAGGAGATTCCGGACCCTCCTAAGGAGATACCTGGACCTTTAGGGTAAGGATACATCTAAAGTTTAGGCTTGAAGGATTAGGGATAGTTACATATCGAGTGTGGGGAAGTTTTGCCACTTTAGGTTT